GTCACTTCATGTTAAATAGTATGGCGTTGGAACCAATTATTTTATTGTAAAGTTATTTGGCTTACAATGGAATTTTAGACATCGAGGAACTTATTTATGACAAAAAATCAGTTTTATATCTTATATTTTTCTAACGTGGTAATGTGTGAAACAGTCACCAACATGCATTGCATGTTCATTGATGCATGTTGTATGATAGTAATTTGATGTTTTCCACCTGGTGTTTTTCTATTTGAGCAGATAGTACAGTCTCGTTTTCTTCCTCCCACATTAGTAATATGTAATTTATTGTCCAATCTGTAGTTTGAAATTGACGTGAAAGGACGCACTCATAATTCCTGAAAACCACTTCTCAACTGATTGCATAGAAGCTTGACAAACTTCAAATGGGACATAGGTTTTTTGTTGTTTTTGAATGAAAAAGTCAAGGAAACATACATTTTTGAAGAATTTGCACTTGCATAAGTTTATCCTGTATTATCACCATCAGATCTTCATGTCCTCTGAGAGGGGACATCCAAGTGGTTTGCTAGTTTTCCAATGTCCCCTCCAAGGGGACATCTGAGTGCAAAGGGTTAATAACTACCCCCTTCGGTGGGGTTATGTCATTTCTAATTGTGTACAACTGAATTTTATCTTGAAACACCCTCAGCATCTTAGTTGATTTTTAAAAAATTTGTATACTTAAAGTTCAGTCTTCATGTACAGTTCTATGGATTTCGAAAAATGCACAGGTCATGTATATACCACCTCAGTACCATGCAGAACAACTTCAGCACACTAAAAAATTCCCCTGTGTATTTCCTGTTCGGCAGCCACTCCCCAGCCCCCAGCCTCCAGCCTCCAGCCTCCAGCCTCCAGCCCTCAGCAGCAACTAATCTTCTGTAGTTTCGCCTTTTTCAGTGTATCCCATGACTGTAAACATTAAATATATTGCTTTTTGGATCTGACTTCTTTCACTTAGAAAAATGCAGTTATGCTTTATTCCTATTGTTTCATGAATTGAGCAGCTCATTCCTTTTTATGCCTGCATAGTATTTTTTTCTTTTTTTGAGTTGAAGTCTCACTCTTTGTTGCCCAGACTGGAGTGCAGTGGCATGCTCACAGCCACCACAGTCTTGACCTGCTGGGCTTAGGCGATCCTTCTGCCTCAGCCTTCCTAGGAGCTGGAACTATAGATGCACACCATCACTCCTGGCTAGTTTTTGTGATTATAGAGACGAGGTCTCACCAAGTTGTCCAGGCTGGTCTCAAATCCCTGGGCTCAGGCAGTCCTCTCTCCTTGGCCTCCCAAAGTGCTGAGATTGCAGGCTGAGCCACCGTGCCCGGCCACCTGCATAGTATTTATTCTGCTGTGTGGGAATGCTGTAGGTTGTTTATCCATTCACTGTGGAAGGGCATCTCAGTTGCCTCCAGGTGTTGGTGATTTGGGGTAAATCTCCTTTAAGTATTTGTGTACAGGTTTTTGTGTGCATGTAAGTTTTCACTTGAGAAGATATCTAGGGGTTTGATCGCTAGGTCAATGGTAAGTGTATATTTAACATTAGAAGAAACTGCAACTGTCTGTCTTTCAGGTGAGCATGCCAAGTTTTTCATTTTATGGTTCCTACTACTCCCCTTTCTGCAAGAGTGTCACTATCTGTGTTATTATATTTGAAGAGTGTTTCTTTTCTGCTGTTCTTTCTTGACTTTTAATTGGTATGCTTCAATGCCATATATTGTAGTTATTGATGTATTTGGATTGATGTCTACTATGTTATTATTTGTTGCCTCTGTTTTTTTGTTTCTCTGTTTTGTGTTTCCTATTTTTGGGGGGGTTATTTGAAATTTTTTTCTTTTTTTAGTTAGGTACTCTGTAACTTATTGATTGTGTTTTTAACTATAATTCTCTGTATAGCTTTTAAAGTGGTTGCTCTGGGGATGCACTTAATGTTCACATCTACTTAGAATCAATATTAACTACTCGAAATGGCACAGAGAGATTATATCACATGTAAGCCCCTTCGCTTCCCCTTATGCTGTAGTTGTCCTATATTGTATGATATTGCATGCAGTATTTCTGTGTGTGTGTGTGTGTGTGTGTGTGTGTGTGTGTGTGTGTGTGTGATCTCCCCGTCAGACATGATACTTTCTGCTTTCAAACATATTTTAAGGAATTTCAGAAGTTAAGAGTAGCCTATTATATTTGCTGAGATACTTAACACTTTCTTGCTGTTCTTGTATTCCTGATGTTTCAAGTTTTCCTTCTACTATTGTTTCTCATCTGTTGGAAGAACTTTTTTGGCATTTGTTTCAAAGTAGTTCTGTTGTCAACACATTGTTCTAGTTTTCTTCACCTGACAGCGTCTTTATTTTACCTTCATCTCTGAAAGATGTTTTTGCTTAATGTGGAGATTGGGGTTGACAGTTCTTTTCTTTTCTTTTTGTGGTTATTTAGTTTTTATTTCTCTGCAATCCAACCAGACATGGAAAGGAATAAGGAAAATATGTAACGCAAAGAATTGTAGTGAGAGCACAAAGATTATAGGGATACTGCAAGCAAATGGGATGGAGGGGGTGTTCTCCTGAGCTACAGAAGGAATGACCTGATAGTTTAAGATAAAACAAGTCAAATTTATTAGATCACCACAGTCAGCAATGGTGATCTTGCTGGTCTTGCCTTTCTTGGACCCAAAGCCCTCCATGGCTTACACAACATTCAAGCCCTCTTGCCAAAAACCACATGCTTGCTATTCAGCCATTCAGTCTTAGTAGTGCAGAAGAAAAACTGGGAACCGTTTGTATTGGGTCCAGCATTTGCCATGGACAAGATGCTGGGACCTGTATGCTTCAAGATGAAGTTCTCATCATCAAGTTTCTCCCCATAGATGGATTTGCCGTCAGTGCTATTATGGTATGTAAAATCACCATCCTGGCACATAAACCCTGGAATAATTCTGTGAAAGCAGGAACCCTTATAACTGAATCTTTTCTCTCAAGGGCTCAGAGCATGAAAGTTTTCTCCAGTCTTTGAAGAACATGGTGAGGTTGACCATGGCTGATGGGAAAAGGTTCAAGGCAGTAACATCTGCAAAGCGACTGACAATTCTTTTCTTAAAATGATTCCACTTCCTATCGGACCCCATGGTTTCTTAAGATAAATCCATAGTCGGTTGAACACTTTTGTCCCAAGAGTAATGTTAAATTTTTCTGGTTGCTTTCAAGATGTTTTTCTTTGTCTTTAGTTTTCTAAAGTTTGATTAGGATTTCTTTGTATTTATCCTGTTTAGGGGTTGGCTGAGCTTCTTGAATCTGTAAGCTTATGTCTTTCAACAAATTTGGAAAATATTTTATTAAAGTATTTTTGCTTTCGCCGAACTCTTCTGCTGGTATTTGAGTGTCACAAGAATTGGACCTCAGGTACTCTACTCTCCCCCCTGTTCATCTCTAGTAAGTTTACTGACTTTTTCTTCAATTTTCACATACTATAGAGCTTATTTAGTGAGGTTTTTATTTTGGTTTATTGATATTTTTCAGTTTCTAAGGTTTCCATTTGGTTTTTCATTTTTCTTTCTTTTAAGTCAGAGTCTCACTCTGTCACACAGGCTGGAGTGCAGTGGCATGCTCACAGCCACCCCATCATCGACCTGCTGGACTCAGGCAATCCTTCCGCCTCAGCCTTCCAAGAAGCTGGAACTACAGGCTTGCACTACCACACCTGGCTAATTTTTTGATATATTGTAGAGTTGCAGTCTCACCAAGTTTCCCAGACTGGTCTCGAACCCCTGGGCTCAGGCAATCGTCTCACCTTGGCCTCTCAAAGTGCTGGGATTACAGGCTTGAGTCACTGCACTCAGCTCTGGTTTTTCCTTATATCTTTTATTTCTTTTCTGAGTCTGTCTTTCCATTTGTTTCAAGAATGTTGGATTTATTTGTTAAAGCATTCTATAATAGTGGCTTTAATATCTTCATCAGATAATTTTAGCATCTATGTTTTCTTGGTGTTGGCATTTTTTCCTGTACAAGTTGAGATTTTCCTGGTTCTTTGTGTACCTAGTAATTTTGGATTGTATCTTGGACATTTGACTGTCATGTTAGGAGACTTTTGGTAGGTCTTGTTTAACTCCCATGCAGAGTATTGATGTATTTGTTTCAGTGAGCAATCAATCTGGTGAGAGTCAGATTTCGTTCCTGGGGGTTGTGGCACAGTGTCAGTTCTGTTTTCAAAGCCTTTGCCATATTGTTTGGTTCTGGACCACTTGGGCGCACCCCTTGCCAGTCTGGACCCTGGGTAGCAATCTGTCCCATAATTCTGAAAGTCTGTGTTTGCTTGTTGGGGTCAGATCCTCACATGGGTCACTGGAGGGTTGTGCTCCTAAACCCACTTTTGTCTGTAATATCCCAGTCCTAGTTCTCTGTGGCCCTGACCTCTGACCAGAAGGCGGAGCTTTATTTTTCTTTCATGGGGATACATAGAAGTGTACTTCCTGTGGCTACGCCCATATCCAGAGCCAGTTGCTACAGGACAGAGAGAGAGAAGCACACAGTAGGGATCCCCACATTCTCCTGGGACCACAGCTCTCGTGACCAGAGAGGTAGGTTTCCTCCCTTGCAGTTTGAGGTTCTTAATGGTCTCATCACCAGGGCAGCCACTACCGTGAGTGGCTAGACTGGAAAAAAATAGAGAAAAAAGGAGAGAAACAGGTGGTTTCTGTCCTTCTCTGGGAGACCCTCTCCCTCTTCTCGAGCCAGAGCTAGAGAGGATCTCCTGAAACCCTTGGGCGGTATTCACTTCAGCCTGGATGACACCAGAGGCGGACATGTTAGACCTCTCGTTGTGTCTGTGGTGCTCAGTCTTGGCCCTCCACTCTGTGCCCTCGGCTATGTTCTCCCCAGAATCCTCAGTGGCTGCTCCACGCATTCTGCCCAGGTGGTGCTACGTCCACTTGGTTGGCGTGTGGTTACTTTGTTTTTATCTGGAACTAGAACCCAGTTTAAGCCTTCTAATTTTGTTTTTCTAGGAATTTGACAAGAAAACGAAGCTTTGATTCAGATACATTTTGAATTGAAACCCGAGATGTACTAGAGTTTAGATTCTTTCATTTGAATAAGGTAAGATTATTTAATAAAATGTGATCATACCCTTACTATACATTTTCAAACCTATATTTTAATGTGTGCTTTGTAAACATATTTTAGTTTCCCAGTCTAACCTGAGATTCTGACCTCGAAAATATTTTCATGTTTCCTTTACCATTTAAATAGCTAATATTCCTTGTAACAGCAACCAAATGCAAGGGCAGCATGATTACATGTTTATTGAAGGTGTTATATACTGATAATTAAAGCTGTTTGCCTAGAGCAGGAGTCAGCAAACTGTGGCCCACAGGCTGGCCACTTGTTTTGATAAATAAAGTTTTAGTGGAACAGTAGCCACACTTACATAATACATATTGTTTGTGGCTGCCTTCTCACGATCATGGCAGAGTTTTTGTTATGATGATGCCAGTATGGATTACAAGCCTAAGATCTGGCTCTTTTAGAAAAGTTTGCTGACCCCTTGGCCTAGAAGACTGAATCACAGTATCTTATGATGCCACGGTATCTTATGTGTAATTATAATATGTGAAATGGTAGCTAACTGATTTTAGTTGTCATTGTGGGTTGTATAACGAAAACTAATTTGAGATTTAAACATGCACATAAGTATATGTGTACCTACACTAAACCTAATTTCTTGAAGTGAAGGGTTTGTCTTATTTCTTAGAGGACATACTCGTTTTCTGAAATAATATATTTTAAAAATAAAACTTAATGCTGTGAGCAGTTTAATGCCAAGTGCTTATTTCTTAAGTAGAAGTCTTTATTTTACTTAGATTTTCAAAAATAAAGTTTATATGATAAAGATCAAACTTGTTCCTGCTCTAAAAGAAATTTACACGAATATATTTAATTATATTTTGTCTTTCCTACTAAATTTAAACAGAACTAGAGTTTGAGAGTAATGATTGTGTTTTTATTATCTCTTATAGTAACATAGTGGTTTAGAGCAAGTATATAAAGTTTTAAATGAAAACTTTCTAATATAAAACTGCATTTAGTGGTTAAAGTTGGAGTTGCATTTCTGTCTGAGATTTAATTTAAACCATTTATACTTGTTTGTGATTCCTAAAATTATGAGTGTTTAAAAAAACATAAGATAGAAGAATACATTAAAATTTGAGCCTAGAAAGTATAAAATGCTATGGTGCTCCATAGGTATCTCTTGGCTGAAGAAAAAAAAAACAGTTTTAACCCTTTGCACTCAGATGTCTCCTCTCAGGATACATAAAGAGATTGCTAATGATTATACAGGGCAAACTTAGGCCAGCACAGATTTTTAAAAAAATATATGTTTCCTTGAAGTTTTCCATTCAGATTGTACAAAAAAGCAAATAAAGGGATGGAATAAATACCGAGATGTATGTAAAAAAATATCAGCTGGCATTATGTAGAAAGAGAATTATGTGAAGTGCTTTCATAGTGGTACACAGATTGGACAAAGTTACATATTATTAATGTGGGAGAAATAAAATGAGACTGCATTAGCTGCTCAAATAGAAAAACTCCAGATGGAAGACGTTCAACAAATTCCTATTGCACATCATGTATCAGTGAACTTGCAATGCATGTCTACTGTTTCACACATTTACCACATGTTAGAAAAATATAAGATATAAAATTTTGATTTTTTTGTCATAAATAAGTTCCTCAATGTCCAAAATTCCATTATAAGCCAAATATCATTACAATAAAATAATTGGTTCCAACATTATACTATTTAATATGAAGTGATTCATTTTCAGTTTTGTAAAAAAGTACGATCGAGTTGCTGGTAGGTGATCTCAAGATGTCTCCGAGTGCAAAGGGTTAAAATATGCCATATAAATTAGAATTTCCAACCAATATCAAATAAGGATGTGTCTGGGCACCAACTCTGAAAAAGAAATTTTTCTAGTTTAGAGATAATTTTAATAAAATAAAGTATGCTTCTAGACTCTTCATTTCATAATATTTGATTTGAAAAAGAGCCTCTTTATGGCTTGCCTCACCTGAGATATGTTTGGTTTCCTAGTAGACTCACATGCAGTATCTTTGTTTGCTTGTGTCTTATAAAGCACATTTAAAAATTTTTAAAGGAAGAAATTTGAAAATCTGTCTGAAAGAAAACACTTTATAGCCAGGTGTAGTGGCTCACACTTGTAATCCCAGCATTTTGGGAGGCGATGGTGAGAGGATTGCCTGAGCCCACAGGTTTGAGACCAGCCTGGGCAATATGGCGAGACCTTGTCTCTACAATAAGTAAAAAAAATTAGCCGAGCATGGTGGTACGTGCCTGTAGTTTCAGCTACTTGGAAGGCTGAAGTGGAAGAACCTCCTGAGTCCAGCCTGGGTGACAGAGTGAGGCTCTGATTAAAAAAAGAAAAGAAAAGAAAACACTGAATCTTTTTGTACCATTTTATATTTAAGTCCATATGGATTGAGAATGTGAGTGGATTTACATTTGAATTATGAAAGGTGATGAAGGTAGCTGCAGAAGAAGAGGTTGGAATCTTGGTAGCTTTAACATGCTGATGGGGCCTCCTTAGCATTGCAAGTGTTTGGCTGTGGTCTAAACCCAGTTGGGTTGGAGAGTACCTATCTGATTAGAGGCTGAGACTTATGAATAGAGTAATAAATTTATTATGAATAAATAAAATTTCCTTTTAAATGATGGATGATATAAGAAGTTACTACTAAAGTTTTAGCCTCTACTAAAATCTTATGATGTCTTTTAAAAACTTCCCTGATTTATGTCCCATAGTGGTACCTAAAACAAGGGGAAATAAACCTGTAGTAAAGTTCACACTTTGATTTTCTCTTCATATAACCTTGGATTATTTAGATGTTTCTAGGTCAGCATAAAATACTTCATTTAAAAAAATCTAATACTGAGTCATTGCCAGATTGATAGTATCATTGAAATTAAGTGTGTGTGTGTTAAAGGGATAGAATTTCTTCTTTAAATTCAATATACTCTGCTTGAGTTTTAGTGTCCGTGTGGCTGGATGAGCGAAGGCCTGAATGGACTTGCTCTGGAATTTTCTCTGTTCATGTCTTTGAAAGTATTCAGACTAAAAGAGAATGTCAGCTTTTAAATTTTGTAAACCCTGATCAGTATTACTGTGTGGCTGTTATTTGCAGTGTTGAATTTTTGAATTGAGTATTTTAACTACTAACAGCAAGGCAGGCATATGGATTATTTTTATACAGCTGTCAGGGCAGCAAAGAATCTAGTGCGGAAATAAACCTCCAAGGTTTATCCTCATAGGAGATACTGTAAAAATATCATACTTCAATTGATTACTGTGGGGTTGTCTTAAAGAAACATTACATAATGTGTTTTTTGAATAGTATGTTCTTTGTACCCTGTCATTTTATTTGCTACCAGATAAAAAGGTTTTGTGGAAAAAACAATTTTATCCACAGAATTTGCTATCAATCAAGGTCTATATACACTTGAAAGAAAGGAATAAGCCAGGCTCGGTGGCTCAGCCTGTAATCCCGCGCCTTTGGGAGGCTGAGGTGAGTGGATTGCCTGAGCCCGCGGGTTCGAGACCCGCCTGGGCAGGCGAGCCCTCATCTCTACAATAAATCAAAAATCAGCCGGGCGTCGTAGCGCACGCCTGTAATTCCGGCTACTCGGAAGGCTGAGGCGAAAGGATCGCCGGAGCCCAGCAGGTCGAGGCTGCGGTGGCTGGGAGTGGCCACTGCACTCCAGTCTGGGCGACAGAGTGAGACTCCAACTCAAAAAAAAAACAACAAAAAAAAAAACGAAAGAAAGGATAAAGGCTCTTTTTCTCTTCGTTAAAATTTTTTAAAAAACAACTTTTTATCTTGAAATAATTTTAGATGTACCAAACGTTGTAAAGAAAGAACGAGGCGGAGAGTTGCTCTATGGGCTTTACTCACTTCACTGACATTAACATCTTACAGAACCATGGCCAATGCTCAGAACTAGTCCTCACTGACTTACCCATCAACAGACTTTGCTAGAATGTCCAGTCTTAACACCAGTATTTTTCTTCCAGGATCCCACATTACATTTAGTTGTGGTATATCCTCAGCCTCCTCCTGTCTTTGAAAGTTTCCCAGTCTTTCCATGTCTTTCATGACCTCCCTACTTTGGAAGGTGACTGCTCAGGTGTTACTTGTAGACTGTTACTTAGTTAGGGTTTCTCTGACATTTTCTCTTAATTAGAGTGAAGTGACAGATTTTGGGAGAGAATGTCACAGAAGTGATGTGCCTTTCTCCCCACGTAATACTGTGCCATGATTTCAGAGTTTCTTATAACTGAGAATGTTGTCCTCGATCCCCTGATTATGGTGATGTCTACCATATTTCTCCTTTGTAAAGTTAATATTTTCCCCTTAATAAATATTGAGGGGATACTTTCAGGCTCCACAAGTGTCCTGTTTCTTCTTACATTTCTGGATACTGATTGGAACTTTTCTTGGTCGATCCTGCCTACAGCAGCAGTGGTGTCCTAGTGGAGATTTGCTATTCCGTTATTTTCTTGACGTGTCTCAGTTAAAATTCTCCTGTAGGAGAGAGTAGTTCCTCCTCACATGTGTCTATTTAATTATCTATTTGTATCAGTGTGAACTCATTTATATTTATTTTATTTTCTGGATTAGGGTCAGCACTGTTGTTACTTATTTTGTTGTTCAGATTGTCCCAGTTCTGGTCACTGGGAGCACTATTAAGTTTGCTTCTGTATCCTTTCAACATGCTGTGTTGTTCCACCCTCCCCCCCCCTTTTTTTAAAGCAGTTCCTTACTTTCTGGAGACATAAGATGCCACAGACTTATTGTGTATTTTCCCAGCTCTTGTATCACCCACTTCAAGTAACTGAGGTTCATCTTGTTTGTTTGGGTTTTTTTTTTTTTTTTGAGCTGGAGTCTCACTCTGTCACCCTGGCACCCTCACGGCCACCGTCCCCTTGACCTGCTGGGCTCAGGTGATCCTTCTGCCTCAGCCTTCCAAGTAGCTGGAACTACAGGCATGCCCCACCTCGTCCAACTAATTTTTT